TTATAAATATAATAATTCTGTTAGAATTTAATAATTATCATAATTATATTTTAGATTTTTTATATTTAAAATGAGATGTTTATCTTGTATTTAATTATGTTTATCTGTAGTTAGTTATACGAATTCAAAAATAGAGTTTTAATAAGTTGTATTTATGCACAATTTATTTGTAATCTTAAATTTTAAGTAATATGCTTTAACAAACAGTACTTCATGCATAAAAATATGTCGTTTCAAAATCCTCTATTATTCTTTTATCCATCAATTACAAGAAGACCCATCAACATTTTATGTAATGTAAACTCATTTTGGGGCCGTTTACCCAATTGCTTACCTGATAAGCGTTTACCGATAAGAGTCAATACTATGATTTATTTTGATGCGCAAGATTTTAACACATCAAAACATATCAAATGCAACAATTTACTAGGTAAGCGCTTACCTGGGTAAGAGTCGTCACCCTCACTTACCAGGTAAGATTCTCCATCATTCTCATCGCTCTTACTCGGTAAGATTCTTGGCCCTTCTCATGTTCATCCGATAAGAAAATTTATCCGATAAGCACTTACCAAGTAAGTGTTTAGTAAACGGCTCCTTAATTCATCTTTTTATTCTATCTCCTTAATAAATAACTGATATGGTTTTACATGATCGGTGGATATAAAAAAACCGTAATTTCTAAGCCAACGAAATAATACCGGGTCTTGTATTGGATAAAAAGTTGTGTTGTAAATTTTAAATTCTTTACTTCATGTATCGTTTTGAATCAAAAAGAGTAAATTTCAATTTTGGTCCTTATAGTTTAGTGAAAAGTCTAAAATTGGACTTGAACTTTGGAATGTCTAGAAACTATTTATGTGGTTTTCATTTTATTTCAAGAGTGATCCCTCGTTGTTAACTTTCTTTATTTTCTTTAAGGAAAAGTCCAATAAAACCCTATGAACTTTAGTATTTTGATTGATTATGTCCTTGAACTATTTTTTGGAACAAATAAATCATTGGACTTTTGAAAACTTGTTAAATAAATCCTTAAACTTTCTTAAACTTGTTAAATAAATCCTTAAACTTTCTTAAACCTGTTAAATAGGTCCTCATTTTTTAAAAATATAACTTGTAACCTGGGTAACAGGTAAACC